AGGTGCCTCACCCTGTGAGGGTTCGAATCCCGGATGGTGCAAGAGTTTGAACTTTAGTAAGATAATGAAATCCCAAATATAAAATGTGTTATGTTAAAGACAGAATATTTTTAAATTGACGTGCAATTAAGGGACTAACTGGACAAGAGGCGAAGATAACTGGCAGCTTAAGAATATACACAAAGGTTTGTCCTTACTGCAAAGTTGGACTCGCGGGAGCCGTGGTTACGAAAATTAGACAGAATATTAATACATTTAACACATGTATAATATGCATTTGGCAGAATAATGAGGACGTGGTGGAACAAAATGCATCAAGACATATTCAAATGTCACAACGCTTTCAAAACATTTACACATATTTGACCAATGTGTAGATGTGAGGTCGCGCGTAACACAAACAGGCACAGTCTGGGGGATTGGCGAGCGACTCCCATCTTCCCGAGGCAAGGGAGTTAACTGACTGTAAAAGTCCAGTTTCCACAGTTAACTCCCTTGCCTCGGGACGATGAGCGACTCGGGATGTGTCTATTTTTTTACAGTCTTAAGCTGACATTATACTCCTTTTTTAAAGTTTTAAGCTGACATTATATATTTCTTAACGTCTTAAGCTGACATTATACTTTCTTTTTTTTTTTAAATCTGACATCAGCCTTCTTTTTACAGTCTTAAGCTGCCAATGCTATTTTTTTCTAAAAGTCTTAAGCTGACATTGTATTTCCTTTTTTAAAAGTCTTAAGCTGACATTAGACTTCTTTTTAAAGTCTTAAGCTGACGTTATACGTCCTTTTTTAAAGTCTTAAGTTGACATTATACTTCTTTTTGTTTAAGTCTTAAACTGACCTTTTATTTTATTATTTTTATTTTTTTTAATGTAAACTTTTATTCTCAAGTAGTTGCCACGGTTGGTAAGTGTGGGATATCTGCTTTGACCCTTTGCAAGTCAAATGATAAAAAACAGTCTAGTTATGTTCGACGATATTAGGATTGGAATTAATTTGTACACAGAGTTGTTGTGTATCATCCTAATCACAGCGAAGCTGAGATTCGAACGAGACAATTAAGCGGATGCTGACACGTCCAAGGGACGCAACTTTGCGGATCCTTCGACCAATGGGCCACCATGCAGTACCTGGATTAGGTGTCAACCCTGGTCTGTCATCACTAATCGACTTACATGGCTATACTATTCTATAAATCATGTGTTTAGATCCCAAGAACAAACTTAAACACGTTCCTTTCTCCCATAATTTTGACATGGTTGTTGTTTAACAGCTTAACGTGTTTGTGGTCTAAGTGTGGGGAAAAACACGTATACCCTCCTGAAACCTTGATGTGTATACCGTCATTGCTGGTGGGAAATTTAAAAAAGGACCGCCTCCGTGGTCTAGTGGAAGAGCGGAAAGACGGGGGTTCGATCCCCGCCTCCGTCATACCAGGACATTAAAAGATGGTACCTGTTGTTACCCTGCCTGGTGCTCGGGGCTAAAGCAAGGACTAGTCGTCTCGATCTAAACATGTCTTGTACATGTTTACATTCTAGACACATTTTTGGTGTAGCAGGGGCCGTCCCAATCTTGACACCCTTCGAGAAGTTTCACTCATCGACATAAAAGAGTGGCCGGCTATGATCTGAAAACCAGTTTTCGACGCGAAAGCAATTCGAAATAATTCTATTTTACAGTATAAACATCACACACATGTGTACTTCAACTTTTTACAGTTTTCAGTATAATTAGCCAGTCAGAGGGTAACTGCATCCAATTATTCGAAAGCACATTTCTCTGTTGTAAATGGATCGCTCACTAAAGTACTTTATTCCCGCCAATACAATGCTGCGGCTGACACAGCTACAACTCTGTCCGGCCTCGTGCCTCGTCATGGTCACGCGCCTCTCTGTGTTGAACGTGAAGGTCCAGATCTACATTTGGTTCATATTCTAAAAACATCACACACTAGTTCTCTACTGGCTCACAGTCTAGTTCTCTACCGGCTCACAGTCTAGTTCTCTACCGGCTCACAGTCTATAGTTCTCTACCGGCTCACAGTCTAGTTCTCTACCGGCTCACAGTCTAGTTCTCTACCGGCTCACAGTCTAGTTCTCTACCGGCTCACAGTCTAGTTTCTATCGGCTCACAGTCTAGTTCTCTACCGGCTCACAGTCTAGTTCTCTACCGGCTCACAGTCTAGTTTCTACCGGCTCACAGTCTAGTTCTCTACCGGCTCAAAGTCTAGTTTCTACCGGCTCACAGTTTAGTTCTCTACCGGCTCACAGTCTAGTTCTCTACCGGCTCTCAGTCTAGTTTCTACCGGCTCACAGTCTAGTTTCTACCGGCTCACAGTCTAGTTCTCTACCGGCTCACAGTTTAGTTCTCTACCGGCTCACAGTCTAGTTCTCTACCGGCTCACAGTCTAGTTTCTACCGGCTCACAGTCTAGTTTCTACCGGCTCACAGTCTATAGTTCTCTACCGGCTCGCAGATTAGTTCTCTACCGGCTCACAGTTTAGTTCTCTACCGGCTCACAGTCTATAGTTCTGTACCGGCTCACAGTTTAGTTCTCTACCGGCTCACAGTCTAGTTCTCTACCGGCTCACAGTCTATACCAGTTCTCTACCGGTTCACAGTCTAGTTCTCTACCGGCTCACAGTCTAGTTCTCTACCGGCTCACAGTCTAGTTCTCTACCGGCTCACAGTCTAGTTCTCTACCGACTCAAAGTCTAGTTTCTACCGGCTCACAGTCTAGTTCTCTACCGGCTCACAGTCTAGTTCTCTACCGGCTCACAGTCTAGTTTCTACCGGCTCACAGTCTAGTTCTCTACCGGCTCAAAGTCTAGTTTCTACCGGCTCACAGTTTAGTTCTCTACCGGCTCACAGTCTAGTTCTCTACCGGCTCTCAGTCTAGTTTCTACCGGCTCACAGTCTAGTTTCTACCGGCTCACAGTCTAGTTCTCTACCGGCTCACAGTTTAGTTCTCTACCGGCTCACAGTCTAGTTCTCTACCGGCTCACAGTCTAGTTTCTACCGGCTCACAGTCTAGTTTCTACCGGCTCACAGTCTATAGTTCTCTACCGGCTCGCAGATTAGTTCTCTACCGGCTCACAGTTTAGTTCTCTACCGGCTCACAGTCTATAGTTCTGTACCGGCTCACAGTTTAGTTCTCTACCGGCTCACAGTCTAGTTCTCTACCGGCTCACAGTCTATACCAGTTCTCTACCGGTTCACAGTCTAGTTCTCTACCGGCTCACAGTCTAGTTCTCTACCGGCTCACAGTCTAGTTCTCTACCGGCTCACAGTCTAGTTCTCTACCGGCTCAAAGTCTAGTTTCTACCGGCTCACAGTCTAGTTCTCTACCGGCTCACAGTTTAGTTCTCTACCGGCTCACAGTCTAGTTCTCTACCGGCTCACAGTCTATAGTTCTCTACCGGCTCACAGTTTAGTTCTCTACCGGCTCACAGTCTAGTTCTCTACCGGCTCACAGTCTATAGTTCTCTACCGGCTCACAGTTTAGTTCTCTACCGGCTCACAGTCTATAGTTCTCTACCGGCTCACAGTCTAGTTCTCTACCGGCTCACAGTCTACTTCTCTTCACGGGTCTTATATGTACCTGGTATATGTACCTGTAAAGTCCGCTCATTCCAATCCTTGTCAACCTTGGTTATTGCTGAACGTCTCATTAATATTACTTTTAAATAAGACACTGGTCGTGGTAATTCCAGTTAGAATTAAGTCTTCATGTAGCAACCTCTTACATTAGAGAGGATTTCATGGAACCGTTAGTCAGGATCGCAGATTTGATTGACTGCGCGTCGTCGTCCCCGAAGGCTTGGGCCGGTGTTCATTATTGGCTAGAGCTTTGAACTCGTACCACGTACGAGTCTCATCAGGCCATAACTGAATAACGGACATGAAGTTACGTGACGTCATATATATATATATAGCTATCATATATATATATATATATATACGTCACGTAACTTCATGTCCGTATTATATATATATATATATATATATATATATATATATATATATATATATATGATAGCTTGTCTAGATCACTATACATAGAGCTTATTGATTTGAACATTTTATTGACACGTCAGTCTGGATTAGGGAAACGCACATCTTGTTAACTCTCTAGAAATACATCATACCAATATATAATTATCATCATAAACATATAAAATAGAAAATGCATTTGTAAATGTAACATAACATGTAAAAAAATATATTTTGTGAATACAATCGTTTATATCATGAAAATAATGGAATATCTTTCGCTTGCAATAATATTAAATATCTATATATGCCTTTTTTTAAATAAGACGTGTCTTAATAAATACACGTGGTTAACAAACAAAAGATATACAATTCACTGCTCTAAACAAAGACTTCCTCTATATTTTCCGAACAATTTTTTACACCACTTTTTGAAAATGAAAACGGAATTTGGTATAGACCTACCTACCTTCCGCACATTCAAGAAAAGATAATTCAAAGCATTGTCACTTTCTCAACCACAATCGCATGGCTGTGAGTATGATTGACACGAAACAGATCAGATTTCAGTGAATGTCGAACATGCGTGTAGCTAGTATGAAGTATATCCCTAATTTTAATTCGTTATAACCGTAGTTCGTTATATACAACATCGATCTATACAGCATTTTTTTAAATGACCGGGACTAAAAATTAAGTTCGTAATATCCGTCAGCTCGTTACAAGCGTGTTCGTCATGAACGTATTTTACTGAGTGTACTTTTCCGTCACTCTGAAATTATATAATATTATTGTCGATAGAATAAAATATGTTATCACATCACATTTAAAAAAACAAAACATTCACGGGCTTTTTCGCTGTGTTCTGATATTTGAGTGGAAATAGGTCATCATAAGAGGCATGTTGACATGTGTTTATCTTTTGTTATCAGATTCATGCACCTCCATCATGACTGGGCGTTTCCGGGCGGTCACGTGAATCAAAATAAAACCATGTGACAGACAGGCGACAGTTTCCTACAATGATTCCTCCCTACAGGGATCAGTCATTAGTTTGTTGACAGTCGCGAAGAATGGCGATACCTGACAGGTGGCGTGGATATCTTGTGATTGTGGGCGGGGTGCTCGTGCATCTAACTCTCGGCACAGTTTATACGTTTGGTAAGATTTGTAATAGCTTGTTTATGCGCTCCGGTAATTGTCGTTAAAATATCCAGACTAAGTGTGTCTGTCACTGGTGAGGCGAACACCTGTTGCGTGACTTCATACCGCACCAGAGTAGCGGACATAACGGCAAATCTGATCTAAACATATGTTTACATCAACAGAAGTATTCCATGTCTTAACGCGGTCGGTCTACATGGCAGGCAGATGTGGAGGAAAAAATGCTATGATATTTAACAGATAGGCCAAGGTCAGGGTTTTCTTATCAGGAAATATCAAACTTTTCCCTTATTGATGAGGCCTAAATCGACAAGGGTGTTTTTCTTCCGAGGAATAAGTTGCACAAATATGTTTTGTATCTAGGCTATAAGCCAACAAATGTATTATTATTATGCGACTTAAATAATACTAGTATTCTCACATGTGTTTTGAATCTAGAAAAGAAATAAAAATATATTCACTGAATATCAAATAAAAAGTTCATTTGCCCAAAATTCTAGACTGTCATAAACACACACCAAGAAAAAGGGAATCACGAGGCTTATAAACTGATGAAAAAATAGATGCAGATAGATCTAGGCTAGATAGATATTGTCCAAATTGTTTTTTACAGAATATCACAGACACATTCATAACAGTGTGACTTATAAACCTATCAGTTAAAGGGGCACTGGTCTGACCAATTCCCCCGGGACTGGTTGTTGCCTTTGTTATTGTTTTTTCCCATTAGTACCCGGATGACATAGATCTAGCAGAAATGTAGACTAGGTCACGACCTGTGCTGCACAATTTGTAAGTGCATTTGTCACTTTTATTGATAGTATAAGGATGTATGGTCACATTGATCAACAAAATGAAAAAGAGTTTTGGAAATAATAAGGAAATGTAGGTATCTTTGTGGGTAGCATCGGTAAAGGTAATGAAGTTTTGATAAGTCACATGCTTGGTAATTGTGCGATATATCTTTACACTATTTTGACTTGCAACACAAAGTAAATATTTCACCTGAGCTTTAGGAAATTTATTAAACACCAAAATATTCATTTATTTTACAAATTGACTGAAAAATATGTCCATTGCCTGAGTGAATCACATTTTAAACACACTCACAAAGGCAAAGACTTGTGAAAACAACGTAGACCTATTGCGCATCTAAGAACTTCCCAACGAAGACGTCGAGGAACAAGAATAATTCTGTTCAATGCTACAGCAAATGAATGAAAACAAAATGCAAATATCATAATTACAACCTACCAGAGAATAATTCTGTTCAATGCTACAGCAAATGAATGAAAACAAAATGCAAATATCATAATTACAACCTACCAGAGAATAATTCTGTTCAATGCTACAGCAAATGAATGAAAACAAAATGCAAATATCATAATTACAACCTACCAGAGAATAATTCTGTTCAATGCTACAGCAAATGAATGAAAACAAAATGCAAATATCATAATTACAACCTACCAGAGAATAATTCTGTTCACTGCTACAGCAAATGAATGAAAACAAAATGCAAATATCATAATTACAACCTACCAAAGTTATGTGTATAAGTTTAGGCAGCTTCCTTTTTTTAAGAAATGTATCCGTGAATATCCACATAAAGGAACAATATCCCACACGTCTGCGGCTGTAAAATGAAATTTATTCGATGTCACATGTTTCTGTAACATCATTTGGGATATTACAACCCGTGTTCGTTTCTCAACTGATCACTTAGTTTGTTTCAGTGGTTTCACATAGGTGTCAAGTCTCAAAGGTCAGCAGAGAAAGCCCACGTGACAACTATTTTCATAATGTCCACAGTTCTTTAAAAATCCATTGAGTTAGATAACAATGAGCAATCAATCATCGTATTATCGGTTAATCCAAAGTATGTTGTTTTTACTTCAGCACTTCACGCCATGATATGAGTGTATTCCCTTTGCTTTAGTAAACCTTTACATATAAACAAATACTTTTGACATATCCACTGTGCAAGATAACAGTGATTAATCAATCAATGTTTTTTGGGTTGATCCTTTGATGGCTAGGAATGATCCGTTGATTTACCAAAAGTAAATCAACTGATCATTCATCTCTTGCTGGGCTGCCACGTGCACACATGACACACTTTTCACCTCACTTGAAACCTGGACTTAGATTGAATAATTACCCCAGACACAACAAATGCTGAATGAGAACCTTTGTCAGGTAATCTGAGTGATGCTACCACTAATTATACCTGTAATAAATTCATTAACTGAGCATCAAGTGAAAGACGACAAATACACAAGTGTAGGGTTATACCAGAAAACACGGATGACAACAAGGGAGTAGTAATCATATTATCCATGTAATCTGAAAAAGCTTTCACTGCATGGATATTTTTTATTATTATTAAACTATAACAATCAGGGGTATTTCCACATATCAACATCCGATGAGCTCCGCCGTTCTTTTTGTCTGATTGTTTAGGCTGAAGAAATTAATTAACATGCTCCCTTTGTCAAAATCTTCACAGATCACGGGTAACCAATCAGTGTTCAAAAATGAGTAAAACATATATTGCCTCCAAGTATATTTAGCTGTCCTTGTCGACAGTAGCCCAGTCTCTTGCAATCACGCTCAGTTGAGTTAGCGAGCAAATCGACTCTCGGCGGCTAGTGAGTCTTAGCAGCCAGTGTCAGACAGCCGAGAAGAAGCCAGAGATTAGTGCCCCTTTAAAACCTAATAATATGAAAATTTATGTGACAGGACCAGTACATATGTTTCCAATACAAAGCTTTCATGTAAACACAAACGTTAACAATGGAACACACGATGCATTAAATGTGAATGTTTATTATAGCTAAAATAGATAGAATTATAAAAATACCTGTATGTTATCAGAAATCTACGAGCCACTGTAACTTGATAGCAGTCTGCTTTCCCCTAATGACAGACTGCTATCTATTCTTTTGCTATGTGACATTATTAGCATCACGTCTCTTGTTTTTGACGTCATCCTGTATTATTTTCTATGATTTTACTATTTGTAAAACAGTGACCTCCATTGTGAGCTTTTATCACGATGTTTTAAATAAAGTCACAAACATGGTTTCTTTAAAATTAATGGCTTTGTACATCACAATTAATGGCAATGAAATTTGTCTAATAACAAATTTCTGTACTAGAATTTTTATGTGAAATTACAAATATGTGAGATGGGTGTTGGAAAATCCAAGTGGCTGTTACTGACGATATAGGTCTCATATTAGGTCAGTAACAACCAACTTGGATTTTTACTGATGGTATACAGGCTCATATGGATGGGGTTAGTAGTAATGCTCTCTTATTGGTCAATCTCACTTTGAGGCATAATAAATAAATATATGTTTCTTTTCAGACAAATGTTATCAAATAGCCTACATTTAATGAGAAGTTGTTTGAAGTAGGAGACTGGTACATGTATGTGTGCATATGTAGGTAGTAGATGCTTTTAATGATATGATAAACAAAATATCATAAATAAATTAGGTAAAATTCATAAAGTAATGTATGGTATATCTGATCTGCTGACTCTGATTGTACTCAACTGATGAGATAAGCTTTTTGTAATGTGCAAGTCTGCAGCTGCCCGATGGTGTGGTGAATTATCTGGTGCACATGTGACATTTCCTGAGCTGAGACTTGATGTATGAATACCGTATTCGACGTAATAGGCACCCAGGGCGCTCTCAAAATTAGAAATAGGGGGCTCTTACTAGAATGTTATTTTGGTGAAAAAAACAGAGTTGAAAGATAAATTTCGTGGTTTATGCTGACAGCCTGAAATGTATATGTACGACAGATATATTTTCCCAGAATTAAATGTCCATAATTAAGGGTGCATATAACACACGAGTGCGTATTATACGCTAATAGATAAGTCTTGTGTACATTGATCAATCGGAAGGGGTGCTAATTGGGATTGTTCACTAGCCAATATCTTAGCAAATGTCGCCTTGGGCACTTATTACGTTGAATACGGTATTTATGTTTGTGATGTCTGTGATGTGAGGGAGCAGATGTTGTGAGCTCCAGGACTTCAGTGTTCCTGATCAGTATCAGCACGTGTCTGTATTTCCAGTAGGGGTATTGTAAGTATTATGTAGGCCTGTGTAATAACTCCTCAAATTATTTTTAAATAGAGTCTGCTGACTCTACTATATATTTTTTACTGTTCATGAAAAACAAATACCACACAGGAAATTGAAGCTCCTCAGAAAAGTTTTTTTGAGGAATTAAAATTATCTTGCTTACCATATTTCCTGGATTAAATGCCCTGGCGTAAAATTCATTCAGACAATCTGTACCCATGGCCTTTAATCGAGGCCTGGCGTTAATAATTTCAATATCCAACTAATGATTCGCTCAGGCCAATCTTCAATGATCTTCGTTACTGTAATTTTAGTAGTTCTCTAAAATGCTTCTGTTTAGCGGGGCAATGTGTTGTATGCATGCAGTAGTTGAAATACAATACGGAATGCATTGGGAAACTCCCACTGTACCTCATATGAAGAAGGTAGGTGGAAACTCAGACTGTTTTTGAGAGAGGATCTGGTCCGATACAGGTCAGTTCACTCTAAACTTAAACTACGTGTACTATGGAAACTAGCACTAAGTTATCCTCATCTTAGGTATTACATCCAACATTCCCTTAAGATAGCTTCCCGACCCATTACATCACGTGGATGTTCTAAATGTGGCAGACATGCCTATGTTTATGACAGACGTACTTCTACACTGTGGATATTTTATAAATGATCGAAATGAATTCTTCTCCACCCTCACTGACAAACTGGATGTCGAAAGTTATGTTCAAATTGAAGAGAATGAGATGCTCGCACTATTCTGGGGCTCAGTAAACATACCATCTGGAATTATGATTTATGCATAGTCCAATCAAAATAATTATCGATCAGATCGTCCTGACTGGGTGCCACCATTTTGTGTGAAGCAAACACAATTGATACGAGAAGTGGAATCTGATTGGTCCATAGGAGAGGTTTTGAAGGGCCATAACTGGTAATAGCCACTGGTGGCGCTACGATCGAGCCCAGTAATTCCAGCCTATTTCGGCAAGGGTGGAAACTAGACTTTTAAAGTCAGTCAACTCTCTTGCCTCGGGAAGATGCCCCAGAACAGCTGTCCTTGAAAACACCATGCACAGTGTGGTTTGTTGGTACTTTGAGAGGTGCATCTTGTATTCATAAATACATAGGTTATCTCCACATTTGTGTTGCTGATTTGTGTGTGAGGAGTACACAGTTTGTGAATTTAACCACTAGTCCGTAGCCAGAGTCTAGTAAAATGTATTGTGGTCTAGTAAGCTTTACTAATAAAGTCCATGCATTAACACTAATATCTACTGAAAATGATGTCCGGTGTCAAGTAGATTCAAAAGTTTATGGCAAAGACTGACAGAACATTAGTCTGTCATACAGACCCTGCAACAAATGTATCCAATACAGCCCATGCAAGTCTATAATGTTTGGCAAGTCTAGAATCTAAAAGTAAAAATGAAGAGAGTCCCTGGGCTCCTTCTTATTATATTTTCATTAAGAGACTAGATGTTAGTCTAACAGTACCTGTACAACACAAGCATACGTTCTCCAACATATTTGCAGGCTTTTGAAAAATATGATATATAATAGGATTGTATGGCTGGTTGGTTGATGTTTATTGCCAATTACATTTTAAATAGAACCAATAACAAATAGGCAGATGTGAGCAGCTGATATCACAGTGGCTGCCCTTTTTCATTGGAAATTCATCTACACACCATTTAATATTTGCACATGAATGCTTTTTGATGAGCTTTAATGCTTCCATTATAATTTATATAATTATTTACGATCCAACAATCATTTGAAAAAGTGGTCATATTGCTTGTGAGTTTTGGGATGGTAAATATCCTGTATTAGGAATATACATTACATTATGCGAGTCTTGACAAGCTAAATACATAATGTTTATCCTAATACAGGATATTTATCATCCTAAAATACTCAAAAGCATGATAACCTCTTTATCATATGGTGTCATTTTAAGTTCTCTCACAAACAGAGCCTAAACATTGCAAGTTTTCCTGGAATTTGAACTTTAATATATTTTGTCACAAGCTCAGAGTCAGTCAGACAGTGAACCTGTTGTGAAATTACTTTATTTCATGTTAACCTACAGACACATATACCTACAACTTATTTTCCCAAAGTATGTACTAGTATTTTTCGTTGTCAAGTGCACCCTCCTTTTCACAGAATCTGTGCACCCTCCCTGTTCCAAATGTCTGCTCCTGTGTTACTGCAAGTTAACAAACACAGGGATTTAAAGATTTCTCTATTATACTCCGCTGTGCAGAGTTGCATCCCTTGGGCACGCCAGAAACCTATGATTGTGGGTTCGAATCCCGGTTCACCCCGATTATGTTTCTAGGTTTGTCAGCACCATACCCGTGCTCGTGGGTTTCACCGAAGTGGTAAACGTCTGAGACCTGCATCACTTCGGGCTTTCCTCCCACATTAAGCTGACACGCCGTGATATAACTGGAACACTGTTAAAAGCGGCGTTAAACCCAACTCACTCACTCACTCTATTATACTCCCAACTTTCAAGTAAGACAAATAAAACCTGGTCATAGAAATGGTATAGATGAAAATCACCAAGAAGACATGTCCAGACTCTATCCATTGCAAAGTAAGGCCACCATTTTTTAATTTTATGTTTCATAGATTTATTCCAGCTTTTCCACACAAGGTTGGTTGAAATTAAAATATATAGCTATTTATTTATTTGTATGAAAGTCATTTTGCCGTTGAGTTGAAACTGCAGCTGGCTTCTTGAATCACTGATGGTAATCTATCTACCCCGGTATGTGTTGAAAACAAGCTATATTGCACCATGATCTAATGAATAAGTAGAGAATACTACACTCATTCTCATTGGTAGAAATAGGCACGAGTCCTGCAGTCCTCGCCAAATTGTCCAATAGTTTAGGTATCATTAAAGGACTAGTAGAAATTTGCCATTTTTAAGTGTTTTGCTATACGTTTGCATTATAAGGAACAGTGAACTAAAAATGTTAGTTTCTATCGCTGTTAGATACAATTTTCATGAAACAAGAGGACTTTCTGTGGTATCTGACCAGTAAAAGGAGAGGTCAGATCCCATAAAAAGTTTGCAGGTTTCGTAAAATTGGTATCGAACGAGAATGAGTGTGGTATTCTTTTTAATTAGTACCCATTTAATTAGTAAATATGTAATTAAGTGTAAATACACTACAATGTTCTTTCATTAACCCTGAAATCCCCACAGAGGATCGTGAAGAAGATGTTAACATGTTGGTAAATTAGGATGTATATTCTTACACAGAATGGCTGATGTGATGTGATGACTGTTGTAGGCAACCTGAACCCGTACCTGACGTCATACATTCGGAAGTACAGCAGCCCAAGTGACCTGCAGTATGCCGAGAGTGTGTGGATCTTCTCAATGTCAGCCATGGGCCAGGGGCTGTCCATGTTCCTGGGGGGCATCATCAACCGATTCATCGGGCCCCGACTCACCACACTTCTCGGCTCATTGCTAATGAGGTGCAACTTTTTGTTGTCTTGTATCTGTTTAGAATGGTTAGACAAGGACACTACCAGAAGTTATGAGATCCGACTTTTTTAGTCACCTCAAGGGAATTAACTGACTATAAAAGTCGAACTAGGCTGGGATTTCAGTGTTCTGGTTTGGCTGGACTAACTAGTTTATGCATAGTCCAATCAAAATTGGACCCGTGAAGATCCGGGGTAGAATAGGTCTTCAGCAACCCATGCTTGCCGTAAAAGGCGACCATATGCTTGTCATATGAGGCAACTAACGGGATTGGGTGGTCAGGCTTGCTGACTTGGTTGATGCCTGTCATTGATCCCAATTGCGTAGACCAATGCTCATGATATTTATCACTGGATTGTCTGGTCCAGCCTCGATTATTTACAGACCACCGTCATACAGCTGGAATATTGCTGAGTACGGCGTTAAACAACAAACCAACCAACCAATCAAAATTGCGTAATAAAATCAACATCCTGTTCGTAAACTGCCGTTGTAAGTTTCTTTGCTTGCAACATTTGCAAAGCATGTGTACCGTCAACTGGGCATAGATAGATGTATTCCAAATCTTTTCATGTTTTTAATCAAGGTGCTCAAGTAATTTCATGCACTTTGTGAGGTAAGACCCGTTTTTTAACAATATAGGTCTTGATTATTGATCAGATTGTTTTGTTTGAAGCAAATGCAAGTATAATAATAAGTGGAATCTGAATGATCAATAGGAGGGACATAGAAGGGACATAACACGTAATAGTCTCTGGTGGCCTATTTTGACAAGGGTGGAAACTGGACTTTTATAGTCAGTTAATTCCCTTGCCTCAGGAAGATGCTTAAAGTTGTCTTGTATCTGTTTAGAATTGTTAGACATGGACAGTACCAGAAGTCCATGAGGGGTAACATTACTTCACTGTCTTACTCACTCTTTGTGTCTGGTATTCATGTTTTTATGGGTGACCACATTCACCGTATTAAGCTCCTGCTCCAGTGATCTCCCCTGACGTGGTTCTAGACCTATATGCAAGTAATCTTTAAAAGCACCCCTTACTAGCTGATCCTGAGTGTTAACATGATGACAGTCTGTATTGTAGAAAACTGTATAAATAACTTGTATAAATGTTGTCAGGGATCATTTGATGAAAGGAAAGGGTGAATGTAAAACTCATGACCTAAGAATACAGGAGGTTATTTTGAGAATATATTTTGGTGTTCCAGTGCCGGAGTCCTGTTGACATTCATAGCAGTGCAGCACTCCTTCATTGCAGTTGTTTTCACTTACGGACTGATGTTTGGACTTGGCGTCGGTATAGCTTATGCAATACCCATAGCCTGTGCCATGAAGGTAGGTCCCCTGCAATTCCTATAGCCTGTGCCATGAAGGTAGGTCCCCTGCAATACCCATAGCCTGTGCCATGAAGGTAGGTCCCCTGCGATACCAATAGCCTGTGCCATGAAGGTAGGCCCCCTGCAATACCAATAGCCTGTGCCATGAAGGTAGGTCCCCTGCAATACCAATAGCCTGTGCCATGAAGGTAGGTCCCCTGCGATACCCATAGCCTGTGCCATGAAGGTAGGTCCCCTGCGATACCAATAGCCTGTGCCATGAAGGTAGGTCCCCTGCAATACCAATAGCCTGTGCCATGAAGGTAGGTCCCCTGCAATACCAATAGCCTGTGCCATGAAGGTAGGTCCCCTGCGATACCAATAGCCTGTGCCATGAAGGTAGGTCCCCTGCAATACCCATAGCCTGTGCCATGAAGGTAGGTCCCCTGCAATACCAATATCCTGTGCCATGAAGGTAGGTCCCCAGTAATACCAATATCCTCTGCCATGAAGGTAGGTCCCCTGTAATACCAATAGCCTGTGCCATGAAGGTAGGTCCCCTGTAATACCCATAGCCTGTGCCATGAAGGTAGGTCCCCTGCAATACCAATAGCCTGTGCCATGAAGGTAGGTCCCCTGCAATACGCAAAGCCTGTGTCATGAAGGTAGGTCCCCTGCAATAACCATAGCCTGTGCCATGAAGGTAGGTCCCCTGCAATACCCATAGCCTGTGCCATGAAGGTAGGTCCCCTGCGATACCCATAGCCTGTGCCATGAAGGTAGGTCCCCTGTAATACCCAAAGCCTGTGCCATGAAGGTAGGTCCCCTGTAATACCAGTAGCCTTTGCCATGAAGGTAGGTCCCCTGCAATACCCATAGCCTGTGCCATGAGTGAGTATGGTTTTACACCGCTTTTAGCAATATTCAAGCAATATCACAGTGGGCTGCACACATTGCTCCCATGTGGGGAATCGAACTAGGGCCTTTGGTGTGATGAGCAAACACTTCAACCTGTAGGCTACCCAATTGCCCCGCCTGTGCAAAAAAGCTAGGTCCCCCTACACTTCCCACTGTCTGTTCCATTGAGGTAGGTTCCCCACACCTTGCACTGTTATCAAGCCTGTGGTTACAAGCAGCACATGTACCACACACATCTGAAACTGGGAGTTTTGGAGATTTTCATGCATGTATTACTGGAAGTGAAATATGTCCCATGTACTTTTGCCTTTGAAATAACAAGAACTAGATGTGGAAATGTGGGGGTATGATTTTTTATCAAACTGTTGATGTATGCGATGTTCACAAGCGTAGACTATGTATGTGTTCATTGAAGTTCATAAAATAGATAAATTAGGAATAATCAACACCTTTACTGTCATTGCTGTTGCAAATGGTGTGACCACTTAAAAGTTCATAGCTGTCTTTAAATACAACAAACATCCCTATTTAATTTGACGAGTATATAAAAGTTATGTTATGTTTGTTTGATGTTAAACACCACACTCAGCAACATTCCAGCACTGTGATACTTGTCATGGGATTCACCATTGCTAGTCACACATGTATGTTGACCTTTGTGCTTCCAGTGGTTACCCCAGAAGAAGGGGCTGGTCAGTGGCTGTGTGGTGGCCGGCTTCGGGGGCGGCGCCTTCATCTTTGACCAGGTTCAGACAGCGTACATCAACCACAACAACTTGAAACCTCAAGCAGAAGAAGTTGGTGGAGAAAGGTACTGTGAGTTAAGTACTTTGTAAGCTTTCATCTCCCTGGGGGATAAGAATTGAACCGTGGCAGGTTTCTCAAAACGATCAGCTTTGCAAGGCTGTGCAGACTCTTAGACTGGAAGACATCAGGCCATGTGGGTATGCGCATCCTCTGACACTTTTCCTTTTTCTTGACAGTTATTTCACTCAGCCTGAGGTGTTGGACAAAGTGCCCAAGATGTTCCTGATACTGGGAGCATGCTACATCGTGATGCAGGTCATCGGCATCCTCTTCATCTCAGACCCGCCTCCTGTTGAGGTGAGACACATCTCTGTGGCCCGAGAGAATATTATCAGTATTAGTGTCATATGTTTGTTTGTTTGTTTGTTTGCTTGTTTGTTCTTTAACGACATTTGTTCTTTAGCAATATTCCAGATATATGATGGCGGTATGTAAATAATCATGTCTTGACCAGACAATCCAGTGATTGACATCACGCAATTGGGATATGATGACATGCATCAACTAAGTCAGCGAGCCTGACCACCCGATCCCTTTAGTCACCTGTTACAACAAGCATAGTCGCCTGTTACGGCAAGCATGGGTTGCTGGAGACCTACTCTCTACCCGGATCTTCACATATGTAATGAGTGTGTCTGTCTTGCTGATTTTTACAAAATGAGTTTGAGAATATGTGTATTTTGTGAGGGCAAGGAAGATACATGGAGTTTCACACTAGTTTCATAAGTCAGTAGGATTTACACTCATGTTAGTTTTATTTATGTTTGTACTGCCTCTGTCTTCATCTCCTGAGAAAATAAGTTTGGGTTAAGACTTGCTTATGTTCAAACACTTCCTGAAAACCTTCAAAACCAGCCTTGTTTATACATTTAGTGTTGTTGCAGGTCAGAACATGCAAGTTGTTGAAATGAACATGTCAAGTCATTTGTAGGAAACATTCATAATAATTTCTGAAAGTTTAGCGTGTACAATGTCTATAATAAATTACGGTATACAGATTCATTGGAACAAATACGGACCATGTCATACCTTGACCTTGGTGCCATTTTTTAAAACCATTTAAGTTTAGGAGAAGTGTCTATGTGAACAGGTGAATGCAGAATAGTTTAATGATAATAATAATAATAATTAGAAGAAAAAAATCCATAATTTAAGTTTCCAGTGGGTGAAAAATCACTCTAATGTCATGATCACACCTCATCCTCAGCCATACAGAATTATTAGTTTATTATAAACCTGAGTTATCAGCATTGCATTCTGCTGGTGATGTAGCATTCATACTTGTGTGGTTTCAACAGGACAATGGAGGTGATACAGCCATCACCATGGCCAAGGTAGTATTGTATGAGGTGATGGAAGTTTTGTGGAATGAGAGTAGCTTAGTGGTACATGTGCTCCTCTGTTAACCTGGTTCTCTTACTTTTCAAGCTGTTCTGCTGACGGGGCACAGGCTGAGGTAATCCACTGACTTGTGAGGCTGCTGTAGCAGCAAGTCTTGCATGGTGTGCATGCCTGTGTTGTTACTATGTAGAACTGGAAATGAGTGTCTGCCTTTAAAATGTGTAGCAAAATGTTCTCTTTAAATAACCTGTGTTTGACCCCCTAACATTTCGAAATGAAAATGAGGCAATCCTTGCAAATTATAAAACAAACACAGTTATTGTGAAATCACATCCATCAAACGTGTATGCATTAAAGAAGCAACATGTTTCCTGTGGTAAAACCCTGTTTGAGGTGAGTGGTCATGAGGAAGAGTGCTGACACAGCATGGGTGGTCATCTGGCTGAACTCGGATCTTAACCCACAACAATCTTACACACTCAGTATGATTGTCATACAATTTTTGAAAAACTTGAGGTAGTAGGTTGTGAGTTGAGGTCCCGATGAGCTACAGAGCCTTCTGTCATGATTGAGCTGAATACGCGCGACATATTGCAACTTTGTCTCACTCTTTAAATTTTCACAATAGGTAAGGACAACGTATGTGCCACACCCAAAAGGAAATGGATCAGAAGAGCCAGAAGATGTAACATTCCAGCTTTGTTTTTCGCTTATATTCTGACCTGACTAACAATGTTCCGATATCGTGCTCTGATATCGTGCTCTAACATCGATCATAGCAGCTTCTGCCTGGGTCTCTGCTGCATCCTCTTGTGTGGGGCGGTGGCCGTGATGGCAGATGATGAACAGACATGATTGATTGGGTCATCAATGGATGGATGGTTGACAGGAAGGGTGATCTCATGAATGAATGATGGTTGACAGGAAGGGTGATCTCATGAATGAATGATGGTTGACAGGATGGATGAATAAATGGAAGGATGGTTGACAGGATGGATGGCATGCATGGAAGGATGGTTGACAGTCAGTACTCTGTGCCTGAGTGGGGTATTCATGTTAAACTGCGGCATGTTATCTCACATGGCTAGCCCTATAAAATCGGCATTAGTTCGGACTAGTACAAGCGGCCACAGGCACATACACTTCGCTATATAAGTGCCCATTTCACCTCACCTCATCACACTGCAGGTAGTGTTACAACTAAGGTGGGGGAACTCTCTCAGCAGAGGTGTAGGCCTTAAGTGTGATTGTATGTTCAAATCACAGATTCTCCCTGATTGTCCGTATGTTTTGTCAGCACCATCCTCATGATCATAGGTTTCACCAATGTGGTAAATAGCTAAGACCTGTATCACTTCAGGCTTTCCTCCACCTTTAGGTTATATATGCCTGAAATATTGTTCAAAGCAGCAATGATCTAGTCACTCACTCACAAGAACTTAAACTCTCTGAAATGGCTTCAACCACGGACGTATATACTTCTATATAAGTCTTTGCTTCAACTAACTCACTATCAGCTTTAATTGATTCACATGTAATGTTTATTGTAGTAATTCTATATGACTAACACTTTTGATCATTTGATCTATGTGAAAATTCTTAACTTCTAAGTAGGGCTTCAAAGAGTACTCGAGTACTCAGGCACGGGCCGAGTTTAATGGGACTCGAGTCCAGTTTGAAGGACTCGAGTACTCGACCAAGGGAGATAACTCTAATTTGTCCGACTTTCAATAAGTTAATAGAAACGTGTCTTTATGTAACTTTCTTTTTCATGAGTAATCAATTAAATCAAATAAAAGTGTAAATAGCTTTTCGTTTAGTTATTTTTCGAAACAATACTTATTTACCACCATTTCATAAGGATATTTCCCAGTTTAAAAACATACTTTATTTCTTGTTTAAAAGTGATGTTTTAAGAAGCTATTAAACTGTTGCAAGCAGTGGACCTATTCATTCTAATTAAGCGTTGTAACGTTAATCATTATTAATTTAATATTTTCATAAGTTATTCATAACTGGACATCACTTTATTGAATATTAACATTGTTTTACTGTATCCCATTCTAATTATCTCTTCAAATGTTGGGAAAACGTCTTATAGAAGTCAACTATAAAATTTACAAGCCTAGTAATTGTTTCATGTTTTGTTTTCAATTAAGAAAAAGTTAAATACTGACTGGTGAATTTGTGATAACATTGAAAATGTTACTTTTAACTTATTATCTATATTTTGTCATTTATTGACAATTTCCTGCTGGCATCAAATGATCTTATTTTTCATATAAGGTATACCTAAGAAGCCATCCCGTCTATCACCAATCTCAACATACATCACATGACGATCACATGTGCAATATTTTTTTTTCACCCTGAACATGGCGTGTGTTACATTGAGATGTAAACAGTTCTTTTCCCAAGACAATTCTTATTTCAATGAAGCTTCATACAAATTTCAAAGGTATTTTATTTGATACACGATCACATTGGTGTTCTAAGTGATCTACGATGTCATTGTGACTCTTTCATTTTGTATAGGATAGGATAATTGCCAGTTTTATTGAACTGATGTGTAATTGCGGGTACTCGAGTCTTAACCCTCGGGTACTAGAGTCCATATTTTTGGACCCGTTGAAGCCCTACTTCTAAGGACACAGATTCCATCTGTCAGAACTTTTTTGTAACATTGATAAGTCATTATATATCTCTCTCTGTCTGTAGGGGTTGAGCAGTGCTATCTGCCTGTAGGGGTTGTGCAGTGTGCTGTGCCTGGGTGGACTATGCAGTGCCCTCTGGGGGAGTTGTGATGTGCCTGGTTGGGCTGTGCAGTGGCATCTGGGAAGTTGTGCAGTGTGCTGTGCCTGAGTGGGCTGTGCAGTGCCCTCTGGGGTGTGTGTGTGTGTGTGTGTGTGTGTGTGTGTGCAGTGGGTTGTGCAGTGTGCTGTGCCTTAATAGGCTGTTCAGTGCCCTCAGGGGGGTTGTGCAGTGGGCTGTGCAGTGCCCTCTGGGGGGGTTGTGCAGTGGGCTGTGCAGTGCCCTCTGGGGGGGTTGTGCAGTGTGCTGTACAGTGCCCTCTGGGGGGGTTGTGCAGTGTGCTGTGCCTTAGTGGGTTTAAATATTTGTGCTTATTGACAGCACCAAGACATTGCTTGTTGGCTTCACAAATGTCTTGTCTGCCTGATGTTCTGACTCTGGGGCAAAAGGGGATCCCTCTACTTGCCGTTAAAGTTGCTGAATATGAGGATTTGGGGGTCACAGTTCTTGTTCTGGCATGTAGAGAATCTCAGCCACGTCTTCCGAGATCATACATATCAAGATGAGTTGATAAAAGTTTCAATTATATAATTGATACATTTAACCTTGGAAGAGAAGAGGGTGGGATTCTATTTAACATCCAAAATCATTCTTCCAACTTTTGCAATTTGTAAACAGTAACAATCTTCAGTATCTTCAGTGTAAATAGTACAGATTCAGAGAAAGAGATTAGTCATGTCTTTTGATTGTGACATCTTGGTAACCGATGACGTCACACTGGTCTATAAAATCAGTGTTGGATGATAACTTCTCAGAGATCATGGAAATTGTTGCTCATGCTATCAACCACTGTTTGCTTGACCAAACTTCAAGGTTATTGGCTGCTGTTATGCTGCTTATATTATTGATCACTTTGGCTTTCCACTGCATTGTCACTGGCTGCTCTCTGACTGCATGTAACAGGTATTGGTACTTTTCATATGGCAAAGAAAGCCTGTATTCTGTTACGGAAGAGGGACAATCTTTGCTTTGACTTTGAGCCTGCTTTCCAGTTTTCAGTTTTGTGTATTATATAATCATAAGTATGCGAATGCTATAGTTGTATGTGATACCACCTGCATATTATGGCTCATACTGACTCCATGTTGTGTGTGACCAGAAGAATAACATGCTGTTCATGGGCGGATACAGCTTTTTTGAAAAGGGGGGGTGCACAATTAAGATCTATTTATTGTCTTTGGTGGTAATTTATACAGAAATAAAGATTTTTTTCGAAATAAAAAGGGGGGGTGCGCACTAAGTTGTATGTTTGTGATCTGAGACGATAATGTGTCGACGAAATCGTATTGTCCCATGTGATATTGCAGCAGAGGAAATTGATGTTGCAGGTGATGGATGTGACATTGAACCCTGACAGGGAGGACAGCGAGACCAAAGCCTTGATCCCTGCAACCAACTCGGATGAAGAGGGAAGGCTGGAGCAAAGGGAGACAACCAAGATATTGGAGCAGGCAGTTGTGAAGTACTGAGTCCATCTTCGGATATTGTAGAACCTATTTTTCTTAACCCAATGAAATTGACAGGCAAACACTGGAATGTTGCTGGATCGGAATATTCATGGAAATGACCAGTTTCCAATATATGTGCACCTGTAAAGTAATCCAAGAAAGTCTGAAAGTCAAGTAATACAAAATATGAGATAGCTAAGTGATAAATCACAAAGAACAACGAAGAATGGTTTATTTTTATTTCTGAAGATTTGAATATGCGCTGGCAACTTGATCACGTCATATATTGAACAAAGTAAATTTTGAGAGGGAAGTGTCTACTAAGTTGTTACCGATAGTTTTAGCTGGGCTAAGCAGATAAATGCAGTGGCCGAATGATCGCTTCCAAAAGTGGGAGAGATATGACAATCGGTTTTAGGAGAAAAGGTACAGATAATCGACGTGAGGATTGTGAGAATAAGTGGGAAATACCAAACTTAACCCACCATGTCCGACATTTCCGAGGTCGGATTCTACTTTGGGAGTCATCATTATTCAAATTTGGGAAATTGTTTTTAAAGCTTGTACATTTTATCAACATCCTTAAGCAGGATTTACATAATATTGATATCTCCTATAAGAAATAAATGACTTGTGGTGGTTGTTTATCTTATGATAAAACACTGCAGGGATCGTACAATAAAACACTGCAGGGATCGTACAATAAAACACTGCAGGGATCGTACAATAAAACACTGCACGGATCGTACAATAAAACACTGCAGGCATCGTACAATAAAACACTGCAGGGATCGTACAATAAAACACTGTAGGGATCGTACAATAAAACACTGCAGGCATCGTACAACAAAACACTGCAGGGATCGTACAACAAAACACTGCAGGGATCGTACAACAAAACACTGCAGGCATCGTACAACAAAACACTGCAGGCATCGTACAACAAAACACTGCAGGCATCGTACAACAAAACACTGCAGGGAGAACAAATCATGAGGGGCTTCAGTGATTTTTTTGTACAATAAACAACTCCCACTCATCCTTTATTTGTCAGGTAAAAGGCATCGACATGGTTTGTATGAGTAACTGTTTACCGACAGTTCGGTCATGAACGTAACGGGCAATGTTTCAGGGATGATGAGCATGCTGTCCTGAACCCGAAGCAAGTGTTGAAACACCGAGCATTCTACATCCTGTGGTTCATCTTTCTCTTCAATGGACAGGGCGTGGTGTTCTTCTCCTCACTGTATAAGGTCAGTCCGGGAAATACCTCACCTCCTTCTTCCAGGGAAATACTCGTCCCTAATTCTAGGTACAGTAAACTACGGTTATAACAAACTCAAAGGGATCACTAACTTTAGTTCGTTTTAACCGTAGTTCGATATGTGTAAATACACAGCATATACACAGCATATACACTGCATATACACAGCATATACACTGCATATACACAGCATATACACTGCATATACACAGCACATACACTGCACATACACTGCACATACACAGCATATACACAGCATATACACTGCATATACACAGCACATACACTGCACATACACTGCACATACACAGCATATACACAGCATATACACAGCATATACACAGCATATACAAAGCACATTCACATCATATACACTGCATATACACAACATATACACAGCATATACACATATACACTGCATATACACTGCATATACAAAGCATATACACAACATATACACAACATACACAGCATTTACACTGCACATCCACAGCATATACACTGCATATACACATAATATACACTGCATATACACAACATATACACAACATATACACTGCATATACACAGCATACATACAGCATATACACAGCATATACACAGCATATACACTGCACATACACAGCATATAACACAGCATACATACAGCATATACACAGCATACATACAGCATATACACAGCATATACACATCATATACACAGCATATACACTGCACATACACAGCATATAACACAGCATACATACAGCATATACACAGCATACATACAGCATATACACAGCATACATACAGCATATACACAGCATACATACAGCATATACACATCATATACACAGCATATACACAACATATATACACAGCATATATACACAGCATATACACAGCATATATACACAGCATATACACAGCATATATACAGCATATACAAAGCATATATACAGCAAACGGACCGAACCAAAAAGCAGTTTGTTATATCCGTCAGTTCGTTATAAGCTTGTTCGTTATAAAGGACCTACACTGGTCCTAAGAGGTGATGTATTGGAATGTGCCTGAGGAGGACCATCCATGAAGTCTCCTGTTACAACCAGCATGGGTTGCGGGGAACCAATTCTAATGTAACTGCAACGGGTCTAAGACAACTACCACATTAAACTACCACATTAAACCCACCTGTAAACAATCGAGTCATTACCAGACTGACTAGACAATCTAGTAACATGAGAGCACATTTTCTGATTCTTCTGGTACTAAAAACAATATTTTAATTCAGTACAACTTCAAAATAACTAATATCTGTCATTTAATAAAGTTTGTTGTTCAGCATTTTTTTATCGCTACAACCTGTCACAGATGTCATGTTGATTTCCGCGAAATAAATTGTTTGAGTCCATATAGTTCAATATATGCAACAGGTTGCAATGAAATTTAATAGATATCTAAGTAAGGTTATTTAATCAATTCTCTTTGAAAATCATATATTTTGTAAGCATAATTTTGAATTTTTTTTAATTAAGGAAGCAGACCTTTTTCCCCATGAGCAAAATGAGTACCATTTTCAAAGTACTACGGTAGAATAGAGATAAGCCTACTAAAGTGATCGGTTCCAAATTATGAGAATAGGTATCTATAGTCTGGAAGGTAATTTAAGGTAACGACGTTTTCTACAATGTCTGAAAAACTATTGGACCTACTCCAGTCAAAGTTGGTATGAGATTATTAAACAGTCATACATAACTGGATGTTACATTTAAAGACAATCGGTGCATGAATAAAAAATCTGTCTATTTAGTTATCACTATATTTCATCAACAACCAGACCTGTTCGTCACGGGTAGAACGAGCATTCATTGTAACAGCCATCTGCATAATGCTACCCCTGCGTCACAGGGTCATATGACACAGTTGAACTAATCAACTCAACTCGAAAGGTTGCACGGGAATCACGCACGCACGAATACGGTGTTAGCGTTGGGCGTCTCAAGCAGTTATTTAATAATATTTATCCAATTATTTTTGCATTCTTTTTCAGGTCAGTGTTATTGACTTGAATGTATCATTCCTTGCCACATTATTATATTTCATGCATATTGTTATTAGGTGTCATATATCATACATAATTAGACAAATCATTGCTTTATGGTTTGGAAGAAAATATTTAATATTTTTGTAGATAATTAGAGACTTTCGGGGCTGTTTCGGGTGAAAGAGAATCAAATTCTGAACCAAGAATTGCACAAAGTGGACAAGATCCGATTACGACATGTACTACAAAGCACAAACATATAATCCTAGAAATTCTTCGATAAACAATTTTTTTCTCACGAATCCCACAAACTACAAGAATGTTTGTGAATCAAATAGGATATATTAAAGATTCTTAAGAAATGATTAAGAATATGTACGAATATGTAAGAATTCATATCCGTGGTAATTAGGGCTATTACATGTCGTAGTGAAACAGGTGTATATGTATTGCACTATTCTTAGTCCCACGCAATGCCCTCGTCATCAGATTCTGAGTCTGTGCTGTCACCTAAATGAACAACAACAGGCTGGACAGTATCTGGTCGGATACAGTCTTGTTTCCAATATTCTTCCTCAACTTTGATAACATGTTGGTCACAGTTTACCCAACGTACATCTGTAATTTCTCCCATCCCTTTCAAGACAATCTGCTTGACGTCGGCAAACTTGAAGGTCTTATTTTGCCGTGCGACCATATTTTTCAAATCACCCCAGATTAGTTCGATGGGATTCAAGTCACAATGGTAAGAAGGATGTCTAAGCACTTCGTGACCGTGTTCTCTCAACATGTTGTAAATCAATAAGGGGGCGGGCGTTTGCTCTGAAGAACCAGTTGGTGGTTGTCAGTTTTCTTTGGCTTTCGTGGGCCGAGCAATGCGGTTGTTGTCCAACCACTGACATATCTCACCTTTGGTGGAATTTGAGGTTGCACAACGGTTAATAGGATCCCGAAAACTGAGCATTGTCCATAACCACCAAGGATTTATCAGGGAGAGCTAAGGAGAGCTGCTCCCTAAAGTAAGCAGTGAAACCTGACTATTCATCTCGGTATGGTAGTCTCTGCCATCTGTAGATCAGGATCTGAACACTAGATCACACCCTGGGAGGAAACCTCTGTGGGAGCCTGCATGGAGGACAATCAGGCGCTCCCCTTTACCAGGGGGGATTTTTTGCTGTGGCTCTCTGGTATCTGGGTGAGACCATTGGTAAGCCGCTGTGTGGCAGGCGTTAACACAGGTTTCGTCCAAATAGACAGGCTCATAGCCTTCTTCTCGTTTCTTTTTAATAATGCGCAAATAATTGATATGCAAACGAATGATATTTGGTCGTTCACACATTGCTAGTTTCGACCCTTTCGTCTTTTTGTACTGATATCCAAATTTGGAAAGGAGTTTACAAATTTTCCATTTGGAAATATCTAAGTCATGCGTTGTAAGGAGAATTTGTTTTAGTTTTCGTGTTAAAATAAATTCATTTTCTCGTGTTAACCGCCGAATCACGTCCCTGACAACTTTTTTATCAAAGGAATCTAACTTTAATTTCCTATCCTGTTTTGAGATGCTCCCTAAGGGATGTGCAGGGGAGCATGTGTTTTTATGAGAGTTAAAAAAATAAATGCAGGTGTGTGGTTATGCAACCTGTCCTCTCTTTCTGCAATGTAAAGCAACTCTTTGGCAGATAGGGGTAGTGGGATAGCCTGGTGGTTAAAGCGTTCGCTCATCACGCTGAGGACCGGGTTCGATTCCCCACATGGGTACAATTTGTGCAGCCTATTTCTAGTGTCCCCGGCCCTGACATTGCTGGAATATTGCTAAATGCGGCATAAAACAATACTCACTCACAAGTTTAACTAAACTAAAGTTGGTGTGGTATATGTTAAACTATAAACATTGACACACTTCCACGTTTCACTGCGGTACCAAAGTCAAATGGTTTACATCAGTTCACGTCTTCTTCATATCCAGGCTTATGGACAGACGTTTATACAGGACGACGTCTTCCTGGCCACAGTTGGAGCATTCGCTGCCGTCTTTAATGCTGGTGGACGAATTGCATGGGGACACTTAGCTGATAGGTTTTCATTCAAGGTACAGTATGGAGAGATTCAGCTCCTTGTAGTGCACATCCTTATCCCCATCAACGCCAGCACAGCTTACACTTACGCTTACACTTAGGCCTCCATCACAGCAGCTTTTCCTGCTGTGAGAATAATAAAATATTCATAAGACACAAGTATTACAGTCAGCAGAGTAACAGTAAAGAGTGAAGCGATATATCAAACAATATCAATTGTTGGCCATGAAATAGGAAGATAACTGGAGGAATTTAATAATGCTGATCGTATCGTCGAGAGTATGCATACGCGTACGAATCGATAGTTTCAGCAGTTGCAATTTATTATAGTCTGTCAGCCATCATCTTGGCACTTGTATGTCAACAAATATATTCCATTAAACACACACTCACGCCAAGAAAGTTGGCTATTATCGAATAATAATCATTGGCCTAACTACAAATAGTTTTGTAATATTTAATGACCGAATAAAACTATTTTCTTCATTGTTATCATGTAATGTTGTGACTGTTGACATGGCCATGTAGTAGGGGGTAGGAACACACCAACTCAATTCATGCAACAATGTGGTCAGACTCAGAGTCATTAATGTTCGAATGGGTAATTTCAACATTTTTGCATCATATTGCCATCTGTAATTACTGTCAATCATGACATTAGCATCATGAGCCTGAAGTTGCAAGTGTCCCTTGCTTGCATTAGTCAGGAGACACATTTCACTGGACATACTGAGTTTCTTGTCATGCCAGGGTCACTGGCGGAAACAATGACATATAACATAGATCACACCAAACAATGTCAACCCTAGATTAGTGCTTCTCACAAAGTTCAGGGTCAAGTTCATCAAGCAGTATGGACTGTGGGTATCTATGTAAAATAGCCCAGGGGTCGACTCTTGCATTAATTTCGTGATGCATTAATATCAGGATTTACAGTATGTTAAGACAGAATTGAGGAGTCCCCACTATATAAGTGGGAATTCTATGTTTAACTATTAATATGCAATTTGCAGGATTAAGATTTGTTAATATCCGAGGACTGACAGTTTATTTTCCAAAATGTCCTAAGGATTCTTTACAAGAGCTGTCATATAGAGAGAATGTCCTAATGCCATTTGACAGGTTAGAACTTAACATTAGCCCGCTAGCCCACGGCTAATACAAATTCCTGTGGGCTTGTGCAAGTTTTCTAATTTCCCCATTGCTTTAACATTACAAGGGTGTTTTATCTTTATCCGGACTAGTAAAGCTTTTGAGTTTAGTTCTATCCCTGTGTATGTCCCATCAAAATCACTCCATGTTTGTGACAGCTGACATGATGTCCTTGTGTTCTCAGATTAGCATGATGTGCCTGTGTGCTCTGTTCACGGCCCTGTTACTGACGATAGGGCTGACCAGCATGGCAGGGAAGTGGCTGTTCTTCATCTACGTGTGTCTCATATTTGGCACATTCTCCGGCAACTTCTCCCTGTTCCCCGTCGCTACAGCTCGCTCATTTGGTCAGCTTCACTACCCTCTCAACTACGGGCTGCTGTTTACGTCACAGGTAACGTGTGTGATGGTGTGTGATACTGTGTATCGGTTGATGTCACCGATTTTGTGGCTGCAGTGTGTTAACGTGACCGATTGTGTGGCTGCAGTGTGTTAACGTGACCTATTGTCTGCCTGCAGTGTGTTAACGTGACCGATTGTGTGCCTGCAGTGTGTTAACGTGACCGATTGTGTGGCTGCAGTGTGTTAACGTGACCGATTGTGTGCCTGCAGTGTGTTAACGTGACCGATTGTGTGGCTGCAGTGTGTTAACGTGACCGATTGTGTGGCTGCAGTGTGTTAACGTGACCTATTGTCTGCCTGCAGTGTGTTAACGTGACCGATTGTGTGCCTGCAGTGTGTTAACGTGACCGATTGTGTAGCTGCAGTGTGTTAACGTGACCGATTGTGTGCCTGCAGTGTGTTAACGTGACCGATTGTGTGGCTGCAGTGTGTTAACGTGACAGATTGTGTGCCTGCAGTGTGTTAACGTGACAGATTGTGTGGCTGCAGTGTGTTAATGTGACCTATTGTGTGGCTGCAGTGTGTCAACGTGACCAATTGTGTGGCTGCAGTGTGTTAACGTGACCGATTGTGTGCCTGCAGTGTGTTAACGTGACCTATTGTCTGCCTGCAGTGTGTTAACGTGACAGATTGTGTGGCTGCAGTGTGTTAACGTGACCGATTGTGAGCCTGCAGAGAATGTTAACGTGACCGATTGTGTGGCTGCAGTGTGTTAACGTGACCTATTGTGTGCCTGCAGTGTGTTAACGTGTCCGATTGTGTGGCTGCAGTGAGTTAACGTGACTGATTGTGTGCCTGCAGTGTGTTAACGTGTCCGATTGTGAGGCTGCAGTGTGTTAACGTGACTGATTGTGTGGCTGCAGTGTGTGAATGTGACCTATTGTCTGCCTGCAGTGTGTTAACGTGACCGATTGTGTGCCTGCACACGTTACCGATTGTGTGGCTGCAGTGTGTTAACGTGACCGATTGTGTGCCTGCAGTGTGTTAACGTGACCGATTGTGTGGCTGCAGTGTGTTAACGTGACCAATTGTGTGCCTGCAGAGAATGTTAACGTGACCGATTGTGTGGCTGCAGTGTGTTAACGTGACCTATTTTGTGGCTGCAGTGTGTTAACGTGACCGATTGTGCGCCTGCAGAGAATGTTAACGTGACCGATTGTGTGGCTGCAGTGTGTTAACGTGACCGATTGTGTGGCTGAAGTGTGTGAACGTGACCTATTGTGTGACTGCAGTGTGTTAACGTGACTGATTGGATGGGTGCAGCATGACCGATTGTGTGCCTGCAGTGTGTTAACGTGACCTATTTTGTGCCTGCGGTGTGTTAACATGACCGATTTGATGGGTGCAGGGTGTAATGACAGTGGTAGAAACATTTTTGGTCCACTAGTCCTTATGATGATAATATATAGCAAAACCCTTAAAAATGGCAAATATCTACCAGTCCTTATGATACCTTAACTATTGGGCAGATTGGCAAGGACTATAGGAATAGTGCCAATTTCTAACCCTGACTGACATGACTGAATGTGTGCTTTCTGAGTAGTTCAGTGTGACCAAAGTGTGCTTTGAATGGCAACAGAATACTTGTACTCTGAGTAACCAGACCAGCTTTTCTTCAGGTGATCACAGCCCCTGTGGGTGCCATACTTACCTCCCAGCTGAAGAGCATCATAGGCTGGTACGGGATGTTCTTTGTGGTGTCAGGATTCTCATTTAGCAGTAAGTCAGCCAAAAGTTCCACCCTCTTATAATCTGGGGGCGGTCGGGTAGCCTAGTGGTTAAAGCGTTCGCTCGTCACGCCGAAGACCCGGGTTCGATTCCCGACATGGGTACATTGTGTGAAGCCTATTTCCGGTGTCCCCCGCCCTGATATTGCTGGAATATTGCTAAAAGCGGCGTAAAACAATACTCACTCACTTATAATCTGGGAAAATGCTGTGAAAAAATATTTTGTTATGGTGTTTTTACACACACATCGTTCACTGAACACATTTTATGTTCTGAAGCCCGGACTGAAAAATGCTCAGTCTCAGTCCCAGAACTAATATCTGCAGAAAATTAACTTTGATTTTAATTTCCAATCCAGCCCTTCATTTTGTCAGGATGGTGGACTGATGCTATTTTCTCCAGATAGTATATAGTGTAGTATGTTCTGGAACAGTAATCAGGCTCCCTGAGACATGTTGTAGTCAAGGAGCTGTTGGTTTGGTTTGTTGTTTAACGCTGGACTCAGCAATATTCCAGCAATGTGACCGCGGTCTGTAAATAATCGAGTCTGGACCAGACAATCCAGTGATCGATATCATGAGCATCAATCCATGCAATTGGGATCGATGACATGCATCAACCAAGTCAGCAAGCCTGACCACTCGATCCCGTTAGTTGCCTTTTACGACAAGCATAGTCTCCTTTTACGGCAAGCATGGGTTGCTGTAGACCTATTCTACCCTGGATCTTCACGGGTCCCAAAGGAGCTGTAGTGTATGTGTTCCTCCTTAATGAATATGAATGGCAAACGTTCTTTTGTTAATAGGCCTCCATAGAATTGCTTGACTTTTGTTGCCAATGACATAAAACAACAATCAGATTCCTCAAAACAACACTATATAATTAAATTTTCCTTGTGTTTACGCCACGCCTACCGGAGCCGACTACATTTATTGCTACGGAATGTTGGAGAATCCCAATATTGCAGTCAAGGGAATTCCCTTTCTGCTCACATGTATCATCATGCACAGGGCACCTAGCAAAAACATTTGTAAGAATTTGCAGTGCGGATTCATACAGTTTGGACAATATTTTTTCGATTCATACCTCAATGAACAAAAAAAAACACACAGTCAATCCTTAAGTATAGCTACAGAAACTGGATGTTCAGTTTAGACCAAAGATGACCATTTCAGGTCAGGAAACGTTTGTAGTTGACTCTAGGACATGTCTTCACATAGAAATAAACCTGAAACTAAATTCAGTTGGTATTTTGTCTGAAGGAGTCTCTTTTAATGATGTTGTTTGGTTTTATTTCAGGTTTTATACTGATGTTTGTTTTCAAAGTTAAAAATTCCAAAGGAAAAGACATATAAAGCAGACTTACTGTGAACAGCCAGAAGGGAGAAGACATGGGCAGTGAGCCACCCACGGGGACTCTGACAACCACACAGCAGACAGAGACATTTCATTACTGGATGTATGTCTGGGTACATGGACATCTACTTGTGTGTGCAATATTCCCTATACCTGTTGTCTATCTAGGTATATGGACATTGTATTGTGCGTGCAATGTTCCCTATACTGCCTAGGTATATGGACATCTATACATGTATGTTTGATACGAGGGTGATATTCCCCAGATGACCCACCTGGGTACGTGGACATCTACTTGTGTGTGCAATATTCCCTATACTAGTCATCTGCCTGGGTATATGGACATCTAGTTGTGTGTGATATCAGGTGATGCCCCCTATACTAGTCGTCTGCCTGGGTATATGGACATCTAGTTGTGTGTGATATCAGGTGATGCCCCCTATACTAGTCGTCTGCCTGGGTATATGGACATCTAGTTGTGTGTGATATCAGGTGATGCCTCCTATACTAGTTGTCTGCCTGGGTATATGGACATCTAGTTGTGTGTGATATCAGGTGATGCCCCCTATACTAGTTGTCTGCCTGGGTATATGGACATCTAGTTGTGTGTGATATCAGGTGATGCCCCCTATACTAGTCGTCTGTCTGGGTATATGGACATCTAGTTGTGTGATATAGGGAGATATTGCCTATTTTGATGTTTGCCCGGGTATATGGACATATCCTTCTCCATCTTCCTGTGTGTGATATAGGTGATTCATCCACAAAAGTGTGAATATTGACATTTGCACATCTCTATTTTGAAATCAGCAACTGTGATATGCTGATGTAATGACAAATATTGTGATATAATGCTATCAATAATGCAGTCACAGCTTCCATTGGTGCAAATGATGAAACTAAAAGCATGTAATAATAAGGTCACATCTGCTTGTCAGAAATCTGCAGTTGTGTGAATCTATATAAACTGTATAAGTGTCAGGCAGCTGATCCCCGCAACATCTGCTGTCAGTATGCTCTCGGATGTAGTGTGTAGTATTGTAAAGCTGAGTGGATATATCTGTACATAATGACCCAGTTGAATGTTAGGCGTTAACAACTGTAGTACAGTGGAACCTCAGTGGACAGGACAGTAGTGGGCAGATTTCTGGACACAAATAATAAATACTGCAAGTCCCCATGGACACAAATAATAAATACTGCAAGTCCCCGTGGACACAAATAATAAATACTGCAAGTCCCTGTGGACACAAATAATAAATAGTGCAAGTCCCTGTGGACACAAATTATAAATACTGCAAGTCCCTGTGGACACAAATTATAAATACTGCAAGTCCCTGTGGACACAAATTATAAATAGTGCAAGTCCCTGTGGACACAAATTATAAATACTGCAAGTCCCCGTGGACACAAATTATAAATAGTGCAAGTCCCTGTGGACACAAATTATAAATAGTGCAAGTCCCTGTGGACACAAATTATAAATACTGCAAGTCCCCGTGGACTTAAATAATAAATACTGCAAGTCCCTGGGTACACAAATAATAAATACTGCAAGTCCCTGTGGACCCAAAGGAGTATGGATGTTAGAATACCGGTAATGATTTTGAACTAATTCACTTGAAGCATGTACAGTGTTTGAAATTAAGCATGAAAGTTGAGGGGTCCTTGTCATTGCCCTAACGCTAAACTGTCAAGATTCAGGGGTTCGCTGGATTCAAACATCAGGCGTAAATGTCAAGGACCCCAGGAGCCTGAGATGTCTGTTCTCATAAGAAATACAAGCAATGTTCAGACAGTCCGTGTCAGGTTTTCTTCACTTAGTTTTGATACAAACAAGGACATCCTCATCCATAATAAGCTTGAGGCATCATGCATACTTTGTATCACGTTTTGTTTGGTGAGTGAGTGAATGTGGTTTTACGTCGTTTTTTAGCAATATTCCAGCAATATCACGGCGGGGGACACTAGAAGTAGGCTTCACACATTGTACCCTTGTCTGGAATTGAACCCAGGTCTTCGGCGTGACGAGCGAACACTTTAATCACTAGGCTACCCCACCGCCCCCATTTTGTTTGGTGTAGTGAGTGGTCCCACTGGGGCCCCCATTTTAATGCCAATGATCCACTATAGTTTATTACTGAGAGTCCCAAGGATTTTCACTGTCTGAAATATATATACTACATGCCACGGTATATCCATGGTTGGTTTAGAATTTTGTACATGCCAAAATGTTTGTAGATTTGGAAAGTATTTAATTCTCACATTTGAGCTCATTGTTTGGTATGACAATATGTTCACTGATTGACTGATTGATTACCAGGGTAAAAGTCTGGTTTCTGTTATAATGTCACTTTTAATTGTGGTAGTAGATTGCCAGCTTCCCGAGGCAAGAGTCAACTGTCCAGTTTCCACCCTTGCCAAACAAGGCTGGAATTCCTGGCCTCGATCGTAGCACCACCAGTGGCTATTACGAGTCATGTCTTTTCTATGCCTCTCCTATGGACCAATCAGATTCAACCTCTCGTATCACTTGCATTTGTTTCAAACAAAACGGTCAAGACGATCTGATCGATAATCAAGATCTATATTGTGATAAAACGAGTCTTACATCGTGAAGTGCATCAATTCACATGAGCACCTTGATTAAAAACATGAAAAGATTTAGAAAATATCTGTTGACAATGAGTTAGCGGTGCACATGCTTTGCAAATCCTGCAGTCGACCGAAATCTGCATTATACTCTACTAACCGGATTTCGATTTCGGTGCACGATTTTGATTGGACTATGCATAGACTCGTTAGTCCAGCCAAAATGTAACTCCATAATACCAGCCTAGTTCGGCAAGGGTGAGAACTGGATTTTCATAGTCAAATAACTCACTTGCCTCGGGAAGATACAGTACTGGTTGCCCCAGCTCACATATTGTCATGTCATGTCATGTCATGTCATGTCATGTCATGTCCCCAAGTACCTACAGATGAAGAAACTATCTGAGTGTGTAGCTTTTCATTACTTCATGAAAGATGCCATATTTATGGCTCTTAAACACCATATACAGCCCTTAAACACCAAAAAATAGTCTTATATGGTATACAGTTGAAAAACACCATATTGTACAGTCCTAAAATACCACATCAGCATTCTAAGTGTAAATTACCATTCTACGACCAATGTTTATTGCTTTGTTGCCAATTTGCTCCCATGAATACAATTAGCTTGGCGGCTAAAATAGTTCACATATTGAAACAAACTGGAGTACAATGTCACTGACTTTTCTGTAGATATCCACATGACTTCCGTCACTTGGCTTTATTGCAGTAAGTTTTCAATGTCACTTTTGTCTTGTCTTATTATATAATTTCAAAATATTACTGGACATAATTTTACAACGTTTCGAATTGGTACCTAAAGTCGCACATTGAATAATTATCAACAAGAAGTCTACTTGTTTTTTTTGTACAGATTTGGTATCTTACTCATCTAAATTCTGTCAACTTATGTTTGACACACTTGACCAGACCAGTTAATTTCTTGTTTAAAGATTTGTATCTGAAAAGTACCTAGAGACAGAACTTTTGAAAAAAAAGCATTCACTTGTCTAAAGATGTAATTGCATTGTGACAATTCGATGAACCATATTATTGTAGGACCTTTGCTGATGTAAATTTTTGGATGCTAATCTTTCACATTTCAGTAGTCTTCTGGAGCAGAGCAAGCAGGAACATAGATTGATCTAGTCAAAATGTCAACTGTATTTTTTGTATAAACTGTCATGATTTTTTGTTGAAAATGACTAAAAGTATGCATAACAAGTAGGCCAGCTTTAGGCACGATTGCATGAACTAGGTATTTTCATGCACAGGGCCATGTAACTAATAATAATAACAAACTCGCAGACGAGGAATTCGGCCTTGTTTACAAGTTTGTTAATCATTTTCATTAGTTACATGGTCTTGTGTTTCATGTTGTCTAAATATGACTCGCTCTGGTATTTGTGAACGAACAGTTGTTTCTTCTCTGTTAAAGCTAAGAAATGAAGCTGAACACATTAATTATATATTAACGAGCAAAATGCATAGAATCATGTAATGCTACCCCGAGGACGAAGCTTGTGTGTTCCTTACGTCGTCTGCTCAAAGAGAGGCACGCGAACTGCAGCGCCCTCTATGAGTAGCTGAAAGGTAAGAGTAGCTTCCTCTGAACAGAACTTCGACATGTCACCCAACATTGTAAAAACATTGTTAAAACACTGTGCGTTTGTTTGTTGTTTTACGCCATATTCAGTAACATTCGAGGTATATGACTACAGTGCAGTTTTACGAGCCTTAATGTAAAAGTTTCTCTTAAAAAGAATTACAAAAAACATAATGGCACCATTACCAATCTCGAGAACTACGATTCGCCTTTGAACTACAGTCAGTTTGATAGAAATCATGTCACTTGAACCATTGATGTTAAAATGTGTTGCACATAGAGTATTTTTACATCAACATTTGTGACACAAGTAACCCCGCAACCCGTAAGCTAAACCATTTTTACATAAAGAATACTTTTTTCATTAAGGGCTGTAACAGATCAGTGACTGACCAACTTGAAAGATTGCGAACGACTAAACAGCGTATTACCCTCGACATAATCTTAAATAAATAGCGTTAATAACATTTCCACAATGAGCCATTTCCCAGTTTTGCGAAATAAGTCCGTTTAGAGGGACGTCCCTTTGCAAAACCACGTGAACGCGAGCAAACTGTCAAAACAAACCGCAGTCAAACTTTTCAACTTATGACAACAATAAGAAATTGTACAATTCCAACATTTACAACGTGCCACTGGTTTGTCTCTATTGTCGCCTTTTTTGTAGCTGTAAAACTCATTAATGCGGTATAAGGGGCGGTCGGGTAGCCTATAGAGTGGTTAAAGCGTTCATTCGTGACGCCGAAGACCCGGGTTCGATTCCCGACATTGGTAGTGGGGTACAATGTGTGAAGCCCATTTCTGGTGTCCCCCGCCGTGATATTGTTGGAATATTGCTAAAAGCGGCGTAAAACCATACTCACTCACTCACTCACTAGTGCGGTATAAACAAGAATGATCAGCACATTCAATGTTAAGCAAGCAGCATAAATCTTTTAAACGACAATGTAGTTTAATGGGCTCCATACGATTTGCTGAATAACACATTCTGACAGAAAACTGAGAGGGGTACTAGTGAAGCTAAAGGTCTTCCTGGTCTTGTTGTCGTGGTCTCCCGACAGATTTCCATGTAACAAAGGTAAACTTACTTTTTTGTTATTCTGTTGTAATTAACTTTTGTTATGTCATCCAAATAAATCATATTTTAACTTATGCGTTTAGGTTCTGTAAATTTCAGAGCGATCTGCACACTTGAGGCTATAGGTGAGGTGAGTTGAAATTGGGTTTACGTCGTTTTCAAGATTATGGGACTTATATAGTGACTTGCATGCACGTGTGTTCGTGTGTGTGTGTGTGCGCGGG